CTTTAAAAATTCAACGAAACTGTGTGAAATATATATTAGATCGCTCAGTGAAAAGCCGCCATTTTGAAACTGAACTGAATATGTCACTGGAGCACGTTGCACCCTGAGCCTGCGATGACCTAACGCAAACTCCATTTCTCGTCGAAAACAGAAAAAGAGGGATTTAAAACACTCGGCCTACAGGCCAGTGTAATTACTGTATTGTTTGAAACAAAAATGTAAACAAAACCCGCGCATGAGCAGAACGGACTTGACAGCCTCTTTAATTAATTTAAGTACTGCTTATGAACAGCACGCCTATTTTAGTGGAACTAAAACATGAACTATCTCTCGTGAAAAGTATACGACGTCTAAAACAGGCCTTAAATGCAGTAAATCAAATATGCATATATAGCCAGGCTCAATCATGACAATAAACAAATGCTCTGTAGCCTTTAATTGTAATCTACCGCTTAGCTTTAGAGTCAACATTATGCTGGTCTGTTTCAAACGTCGTGCTTCTCATGTGCCCATAGGCGTACCGGGCAGCGGGGGCGGTGGGGGAGCAGGGGGCAGGGGGGGCAGGGGGGGGCGGTAGCCCCCCAGTTTGTTGGGCAGTCGGGCAATTTTCAATAAACAGTCGGGCAATTTTGGTTTGCAATTAAAAAAAATCGGACAAATTCTGTAAATTTTGTCTAAAATTAAGTAAATTTTGTGTCCAATTTTGTGTTTTTTCGAAAATTTGTGTTATGTTCCGAAAAATTTTGGTGTCCGGAAAATTTTTTTGACCCCTAAAATGGTACACTGACCGAAATTTTTTTGGCGACCGGGGGGAGGGGTGGGAGGTCGCCAAAATAATTTTTCCCGAAAAAAATTTTCAGTACTAGTCGGGCACAATCCCGAAAAGTCGGGCAATTTTCTTTCCGCCCCCCTAAATTTTTCCTTCCGGTACGCCCATGCATGTGCCAAACGCATATTAAGCCTGATTCTCATATGTCGCCGACGTCGGCGATGCCCATTGTCGTTGATCATTGATGAGTAAAATCTTTTGTCTATGTTCTTTCTCACTGATCTCAAACAATGGCATCGCCGACGTCGGTGACTTATGAGAATCAGGCTTTAGGAACAATAGATAATGAGGCATTTCAGCAGACTAAATTCAGCTGATTATCTATTGTTTGCAACATGAGCTCCGCCTTTGAATTTACTACAGGGTGTATAAAAAAAAGGAGACCTTTAGAAATCAACCATATTGTTAAAATTTGAATGCCTTTTCAATTGCACATATGCCGAACCGTAGTGCGTGAAATATTGATTGGGGGCATATATTAGGAAAAGGAGACCTTTAGAATTTGAAATAACGTTTAAACAAAAGTTTGTCTGCTCCTGGGAACAATCTGCCATGCATACTGTACGTAGATCGCATGTTACGCACTCGCGGGCTTAGCAAAGTGCTCCAAATTATAACAATGGTTGATTTCTAAAGGTCTCATTTTTCTAATATACAGGGTGTCTCAAAAAAACCCAAAATCATTGAAATAACGTATTGTTCGAATTTCAATGCCGTAACACAAAGGATTTTGACAGGGTGATTAAATATCTTTGTAAAGTGAACGTTTGTTTGCTCATGGGAATTTAAAAATGCTTCGTAAATTGTAATATGCGTAATATGCATTCGTGGGTTTAGTACTTTATGCCTGACATAACAAGTTTACGCTGAGTATTACCATTCATTATAGCAGTTATGTCAATCTTTTATGCACTCGTGGGATTAACTTAGTGCTAGGGCATTGAATATCGAACAATACGTCAATTTCAATGATTTTGGTTTTTTTTGAGACACCCTGTATTTCTCCTTAGACAACAGCTGAAACAAAAGCAATACTAGTATACTGTACAGGGTGTATAAAAAAAAGGAGACCTTTAGAAATCAAGCATATTGTTAAAATTTGAATGCCTTTTCAATTGCACATATGCTGAACCGTAGTGCGGGAAATATTGATGGTGCATATATTAGAAAAAGGAGACCTTTAGAATTTGAAATAACGTCTAAACAAAAGATTGTCTGCTCCTGGGATCAATCTGCTATGTGCTTAGCAAAGTGCTCCAGGATTCAAATTATAACAATGGTTGATTTCTAAAGGTCTCCTTTTTCTAATATATGCAGTCCATCAATATTTCACGCACCACAGTTCAGCATATGTGCAATTGAAATGGCATTCAAATTTTAACAATATGCTTGATTTCTAAAGGTCTTTTTTTTATACAGGGTGTCTCAAAAAAACCCAAAATCATTGAAATTGACGTATTGTTCGATATTCAATGCCCTAGCACTAAGTTAATCCCACGAGTGCATAAAAGATTGACATAACTGCTATAATGAATGGTAATACTCAGCGTAAACTTGTTATGTCAGGTATAAAGTACTAAACCCACGAATGCATATTACGCATATTACAATTTACGAAGCATTTTTAAATTCCCATGAGCAAACAAACGTTCACTTTACAAAGATATTTTAATTTTTTAAAACAAATTAATCACCCTGTCAAAATCCTTTGTGTTACGGCATTGAAATTCGAACAATACGTTATTTCAATGATTTTGGGTTTTTTTGAGACACCCTGTATATATTAGAAAAAGGAGGCCTTTAGAAATCAATCATTGTTATAATTTGAATCCTCGAGCACTTTGCTAAGCCCACGAGTGCGTAACATGCGATCTACGTACAGTATGCATGGCAGATTGTTCCCAGGAGCAGACAGTCTTTTGTTTAAACGTTATTTCAATTTCTAAAGGTCTCCTTTTTCTAATATATGCACCCCATCAATATTTCACGCACTACGGTTCAGCATATGTGCAATTGAAAAGGCATTCAAATTTTAACAATATGGTTGATTTCTAAAGGTCTCCTTTTTTTTATACACCCTGTATGTTAATTGATATCTGACATTAAATTTGCGGGGATATCGCTAACAATAGTAGCCTTTCACGCATAATTGTTAAACTTTTTGTAAAGAAAGAAATCAATCATGCGCAATCAATCATGCATAAAATCAGTCATGCGTTTAATAAATTGTGCGCGAACAGCTACATAATACGGCAAAAAGTGGGTTAAGGGTTGCGCGTTGTACTTAAGCCGGTTTTCCACTAGGCGGAATTTTGCGCGCGGAGTGGAATTTTTCTTTGTCTTGTGATATCTCGGGTGGGACTAATTAGAAAAGACAAAGAAAATTTCCGCTGCGCGCGCAAAATTGCGCCTAGTGGAAAACCGGCTTTAGTGTACATGCATTAAACAGTCTGGTACTTTGATAGTTCATAAACTAAATTTGCCAAAGCCAAATTTGCACCGTACGAATTGAAATTGTATTTTAAGCCTCCCATTTTTGTGCGCACCATTTTTAGAGTGGTTCAATTTTAAAAACAACCCTCATGCACTCGAATTTGCTTTTCAAAATAATTTTAGTGAAGACACTAGCAGACACCAAATTATCCATGTTTGGATGTTTTCCGTCACAAATTTCGCGGAATTTGCTGTTTAGCGGACATTTTTGAACAGTGCATGGAGGTTTTTTATACATCCTGTAGAGCTCACTGCTATTCTCTGACTACACGAGACAAACTAACTTGCATCGCACCAAGCTACAAACGCTACAAACGCTACAAACTTTCTAGTTTAAAAACAACAAGGCGTAGTACAAGATGTGCATGCAAGTATATTTGTGCGCTATTAAAAAAATAATAAAGTTTGTAACTAATAATACACTGACAGTCAATTCATCTTATATTACAGTTCATGGTAATTCATGCGATATTATCGAAGCAAAAATGTTAAAAGGTTGGTCACGCACAAATTATTTGGAGAGGGTCAGACTTGACTTTCACTATCTCTTACTGGCTGAGTAGGCGTCTGATTAGTTAATGATGGGAAATATCAAACGCATCTGATTGGTTAATGGTCCGGAATCGGATCTTAAAGGTCAAGTTTGAACCTTTCTATTCTTGAAGAGGGTACTTGTACACGCGTAAAAACGCAAAGTCCTAACAAGCCTGCACCAGACTTGTAGCTGTTCCAACAACTTGTCAACATTTATGATGTGTTCGCACTGCTTGTTCCCAACTTGTCGACAAGTTGTCTACGGCCGGTTTGTTGACAACTTGCTACAATGTTCTCGAGCTCAACAGACTTGTTACAAGTTGTTTTAACAATTGTTATCTTCCTGCAATTCAACAATTTGTCAACAACTTGTGAGCCAGCAACATCCTTGTAGCAAATGATAAAATAACAGCATTGTTACAACTTGTTAAACAAACATGTTACAAGCCTGTTTCGACCACACCTTGTTGACAAGTCGTAAGAATTTTACGTTTGTATGTGGAAACTGTGCACATGCCATTAATCATGTTCACTTTTTTCTTTTTTTTTTTTAATTAATATTTAATTTCAGGAAGCTTTCTCACAAAGTGATTTTCAGAAAGGTCCTGAACTAAATAAACTATTATACAAGGAAGACATGAAAAATTAGTGAATATACTACATAACTATGAAAAATATTAAGAAATTATACGAGGGAAAGTTCAAAGATTGCTAAAAAAGTTTCTCTTAAATGTAGAAATACTAGTAGATAGTTTTATCTTTTTGTCCAAGTTGTTCCAGTCTGTTATGGCCTGATAAGCGAGTCTTTGCTTTCCCCAATTCCTTGATACTTTAGGTGGCCTTAAATTGTCCTTATATCGCGTATTGTAGTTGTGCATTTCTCTGTTCGCTAGAAGTTCAAATCCATGTGAAGTATGATTATTTAGACACTTAAAAACAAATAAACATCTATGATACAATCTGCGTTTTTCAAGAGTGGTCCAGCCTTGATGCTTTACTCAGGTTTAATTTGCTTTATTTGTCGAAATAAAGTTATTTTTGTCCCAAGAAATCATTTTGCCAGCGTATATACGAACGGTTTAACCCCCTCTCCCCCTTGTGCAAATGTATGCCCCTAACACAATGGATTTTTCCAATGATTCAAATGCATTTGCTCTTGAAAACAGGAAAGAGATTTGATGTGCCAGCTATGCAGACGTTTTGTGTCAGGCAGAGTGGAGAATGTTTCATAAGGTGCTTAGGCAAATCAAAATGTCAGTCATTTGGTATTGGTGTTGTTGATGAATGCCTTGGACAACTACAGTGTCGCTTATATTCTCAAGTGGAGATAAGCGATCTAACTAATGATACGAAGTTTACTTATTATATCCTGGTGAGTTACAACGCGTTACATTTTCCCATAATTTTAGCGTATAGCGATTTTGAATTTGATTATCTTGCCAACCTTAACAAATAAATATAAGGCCCGGTTTAGACGATGAATTTATTATGCACCAAACCTAATCAACAAGTTCGCCAACTGATTAGACGTAGCACTTAATTGTATCGATTTACTAATGTCATGGATGAGCTGATGCCTATCTCATTCAGTGAATGACGTCGCCTGTCAGCATGGCTAACTTTTTACTTTACTATATTATATAGAAGGGATCGTCATGTTGCATTAATGTGTCGTGTTTAAATGGAGGACTATGTCGAAGTAAAGTTTGCACATGTGCTTGCACGAAAGACTTCATGTCAACAAATTGTATTTGCCCAAGAAGTAAGAAACTTCATTTTCCTTCATTAATCAAATGATCACGTACATCCCAGTGTAATCATGGATTGTAAAATAACTGGATATAGGAGACTTCGTGACGTCACAGTCTAAACCTAGTTGCAAATTGGCTTTCAGAACACAAGTTAAACTAAAAAAAAATAATTTAAAACCAAGCTTAATGTTTGTAAATATGACTCAGCCACAATAAAAGGATAAATCTACTTGCTGAAGTATGCCATGGGTAAAAATACGCAGATTTAATACTCTGAATATGCGTCGCAGTTTTCGCAAAATACGGAAGAAATCGGGAAAAATAGGCTGCTATTGGCGACGCAATTATCTCTGTTGTAAAATCAACCTCGTTCCCAGGGTCTCTTAGAACGGCGCGAGGCAGCCTAGTCCCTAGGCCTCTTAATTCGCCCACTCAATTTGCCCACTCTTGTTGATCGGAGGGTTTCCTTGTGTAAACAGTTTTACGAGAACAATTTTGGCCATTCAAGTAAAACTTCTGATCTTTTACCTAGAAAGAAATCTCACTCATATAACTTTAGAAATGCTAGAAACATTCCACTTTTTAAGACACGTACAAGTAGATTTTATGATAGTTTTTTACCAACCTGTGTGCGGAAATGGGATTTGCCTTGAACCTTTTGAATTTAATAACTTAATACAATAATGCATAAAATTTCTATATTTGTATTGTACATATATTTTTATATATTCTAATCTAAACTATTCTATTTTAATGTTACTTGTTACTTGAGTTTTTTAGTTTCTTTTTGTAAACTGCCATTCAAGTTTCAATAAATGCAATTCAAATTCAATTCAATTCAATTCTTAGTACGCCCATTTCGCGTTTCTGCATATAAATGAGCTGACACGGAAATCAAAAGCGTGCACAGAGTACTAGGGACTAGTCTGATACCAGGGTCTTTCCTAGAGACCCTGGGAACGAGGTTGTTGTAAAATGACAATAATGTAAACAATAAAAATGAACATTTGCCTTAAAGGTTGTTGTGTGGCTTAGGCGGGTTCATTTTGGTCATAGATCAGTATAAAATACCAAAAGACAAGAACAAACACATTGTCAAGCAAAAAACATGAAAAGGTAAAAGTATCAGTCAAAAGCATTGGAAAATCAACAATACTTCGCCATCATAATTGACATCACGATTTGCAACTACGTTTCAACATCTCTCGAGCAAAAACAAAGACCTTTCAGCCAATCAGCGGGACGGAAACATGTCATGTGTCGACAGTTTCCTACCAGTTATTTCACAATCCATGGTTTAATTATTATTATTCTGATCACGTACAAAAACCAGTTTCACATTATTCTGTTTTTTTTTTATCTCTGAGGGTGATTTTGAAATGGAATTGAAACACTGCGTGTCCTCTAAGAGAAGCCTTAGGTCGTCACGAAAATATTTCGTGCACATAAATTGGACAAGACTCGCTACCAATCCCCGTTGACTCGATAACTCAATAGGTAAAGCGGCGGTCTAGATACCCGAAGGTGCGAGTTCAATCCCGCTCGAGCCAACGAATTTTTTATTGGTCTATTGCAGTGTCGAAATATTAATATGAAACTGGTTTTTCGTCAGTATCTGTGAGGATGGTTCTAAAATTAAAAATCTATTTGTTAACCTGTAAACAATTGCTAGAAGTATTTTAATTGTATTTTCATTTCTCATAATGCTATAAAAAGCAAGTAACCTCCTAGACAAATACCACGCATTATTAAAACTGCCTATGATCGATAACCTGCTGTTTTCTCGTTCAGAAAACTTCGGTAATTTTTGAACCACCATCTTGTTTTTTCTACTGGCAGTCCCCGGTCTTCAATAGTCACGTGCATGCCCGATAGTTTGCGATGTAGGACGGTGTATATTGGACAGTTGCTTATCGTGGATTTTTATACGATACAATGAAACACCTATTAGATTAATCTTCGCCCAATATGGCAAAATATTAAGTCTCGACTTCAATATCAGGCTCGACTTTCGGTCTCGCCCAATATAGAAGTCGAGACTTAATATTTTGCCATATTGGGCTCAGAAGAAGGCCAATAAGATATATTATTCCGGATATGAGCTACTCTGCAATTTGATTGGCTCTCTACTAGCGGGATATTAGCTCATATCCTGCCAGTGGAAAGAAAACCAATATGGCGGCGCAAATAGATTTTTAATACTTAATTTAAACTAGTTAGTTAAACAATATATTTTTAAAGATAAAAACATGGACAGAATACAATTTTTTGGAAGAAATTAAACTGAACTAAAAACAAGTTCAATTTATAGATGTGAAATCAACGAGCACTTGTTTTGTTTAAAAGCCTTAACTATATAAAAATTCAAGTTTTCATTAATGTATGAAGTATTATTTAAAAAAATAGCAGCAGTGTTTATTAGGTTTAGGGCAAGTTGTGTTGCATGATTGATAAACTGTTAAAATATTGCCGTACAAGTGAGTCTGTGAATTCAGTATAGTTGTCTATATAATATACAGCTCATATATATATATACGACTCGAAGAATTGCAGACGCTGGTATCCGGTTGTTGTCTATATATAATAATAATAATAAGAAGAATTGGCCTTTACAACTGACGAGCTATCCAGTATATATAAAGTTCATTGACTCCACGATGTCAAGTATGTTGCCGAGGAATATTTACCTGTCAAACTTCTCATATCCATCTGAATAATCATTGATTACACTCGCCGCACATATGTTCCCTCGATAATCATATTATGCTTTCGGAACAAGTGTAAAGTTCATATATTGTTCAAATTAAAACATATCAGCCGGGTTAGTTCAGCTTTCATCTCTTGAGTAGCAATGAACCAATGAGGAAAGCCCTTAACGAGAACAGTTTAGAAATAACATAGTAGCCTAAGAGCTATCCAACAGAAATAAAGTTGGTCTTTGCTTCAGTTTATTTTCATGATTTTGTGTCCCCACAGATAATGTAACGCGACAATTCTCCCACAAATGGAAGGCTGTCAAAGGGACTGGTGCGATCACCCAAATTGACAGTGGCGGTGGGCGAACATGGGCCACGAGAATCGACAATGAATACATTTTTGCATTACAAAATGGCGCTTGGACACAAGTGGACGGCCTATTATCTCATGCTACAGTTGGAAAATCGGGCGTTTGGGGACTCAACAAAGACGATGAAATATTCTTCAGGCTAGGTGTGACACCAGACACACCGTCTGGAACAGGATGGCAAAAGCTGTATGGTTTATTGAAGCAGATTGACGCTGGTAGCTCGGGAGTTGTTTATGGAGTGAATAGGTATTATTTTTTACATCTATTTATTAATATTTCTGATTGAACCTAAGGAACTGGAACCTGCGATTCTGGTGCATAGCTCTGACCAAAACTGTGCTCAATGGCGGAAATTCACTTTTTCCGGGGGGGGGCAAAGCCTCCTAAATTTCCGACAAAACTTTCAAATTTCCGACATATCCCCCATTCCTCTTTTAGGTCAAAATTTCCGAAAATCCATCAATCTTCCGTGAGGGGCCGCCCCCTCGCCCCCCAAAATTTCCGCCACTGACTGTGCTACAAAGTCCAGTTGCCAAGCTCTAACCACAAGTTCATGTATATATACTAGGGTACTGCCTAACCTGAGTATCAGGCTTTATTTTACAAATAATAGCCTGACACAAATCTTAATCCGATCGCTTTCCACCCACAGCAAAGTTTATATTTAGTACCCAGTCAAAATGTCGCAGAAGAAATTTAAATTTCACACAACGACAACAACAATCTATAAATTATAGTTGTGATCACTATAAAATATATCAACAACAACAGTATAATCTAATTAGCACCAACCAATCAAATGACAGATTAAAAAATCTTTTGTCTCATAGACCAATCAGATTTACAACCGAAATACGGTTGTACGGCATGGACTTTTGTTAAGGTTTGTATCAGGCCTATTTATTTATTTATATAGGCCTGATCGCAGGTTAGGTACTGCCATGTTAGGTGTATGGGTAAAAATCAATATCTAATAAATGTATATAAATTTACACTCGATAATTTCCATCTACAAAACCCTTTAATCTTGATATTTGAACAACATCTGCTGCATGAGTGCTTATAGTGAAAGCACTGATCCCAAAACTAGGATTTTAGCCAGACTATTTATATTCATTTTAGCCAGAATATTTATGGTGGTCAATTTATTCCGGGCGTTCTGTTACCCCCGTCCGCGCAGATCATGTCAGCGGCATCTAGTAAATTACTTAAATAACATCGCCCCGAAGCTCGAATGGTTTTACTCAAAATTCCAAAGGAATTTTATCGCTGAAAATCGCCGAATATTTTTCATCTACAACCTTAGAAAGTGGAAATATTTCCAGATACGTGAGCCATCATTCGAATATTTACCATCAAATAACAAATTACAGCGGGAAGGTCGATAAAGATAAATTACAGGTGCTCCAAAATAGAGCGGCGCGACTTATAACAAGAGTAAGATTTGATGTCAACTCGGCAAATGTACTGGAGGATCTGCAATGGTACGCTCGATGTAAGACGTCATAGGCTGAAGAGCGTTTTCATGTACAAAATTCTTAATGAGCAGTCCGCTCCAAGTTTTAGAGAAAAATTTATAAAAATTAAAGATCTTAATAGAAAATATAATCTTCGAAGTAATGATACTGATCTACGGCACTTCCAAAACCTAAACCAAACTATCTTAAACGAAGTTTTAAGTATAGTGGTGCAATGCTGTGGAATAGTTTTCCTTCTGAGGCGAAAAAGGCATCCTCGCTTTACCAATTTAAACGCAGTATGTCCACTATATACCAGAGACTAGGATGTGAGTTAAGATAGTTTGTAAGTATAACACGCCCCATCTGAAAATCAACTCATTGTATTTTACAAATATGTTGTGTATGGCAGGGTGGCTAAATAAATTTTTAAGTAAGTTAAATAAGTATATTGAGAAATGGTGTACAGAGAATGATATGGTACTTAACCACGCCAAGTGTATGGAGTTGATTGTTTTGAGAAGATACACCGAACTTTCGTCCACTGTTTGTTGGAGAACATTGTATTTCCAGGGTTTTGTCAGCAAAAGTCCTTGGTCTTATTTTCTCGTCTGATCTTCATTGGAACTTGTATATTGAATATATCGTAGCAAAAGCACCAAATATATACTTTGTCCGAATACTTAAACAAAGCGGACTTGGAGTGAATTCTCTAATCCAAGTATTTTTTACATGTATACGGCCTATCCTTTCTCCAGAAAATGTTTTCTGAAATAAAAAATGGGGGTAACCGACCTTTTTTAAAGTAAAATGCGTTCAAAGCCAAAATATCGGCCATCTTGAATCGTCATTGTTGCCATAGCAACAGTAGTGACGTCACTTTTCTGACCAATTTTTGACTGCTTGATTGTCGCTGTATATATAATATACAAATTTCGATTTGTAAAGAGCATCATCTCTTCAAAAAGGTGATCTAGTTTACGCATTTTCAACATTTCTATAAACTGTAGCGAGCCACCTTAAATACGCATGCCAGGTTTGGAACTACGTGAGCGGTCCGTATGAGCCCATACGGACCGCGCGAAATTTAAAGCCGTAGAGCCAATGTTTTTATTTTTCAAAATTTAAAGACGAGTTTAAAGGCTACTTTTTAAAACATTAAAATATCTGCAGACGACGAAAAACACAGTGAAAACGAATTTTACTATCTCACAAAAGATATTTCTCTTCCCGATAGCATTGATAGAAACGACGTTTTATTTGGCAGCTTCATTCGCGTGCGGGAGGAGTGATTGGGGAAATCCAGAGCAGGAGAAAATAAAAATATTATTTACCGGTATGGTCGGTCCGTATAGAGAAATATTTCTCTCGGTCTTAAAAACGGCCCGAGGCCTAAAAATATTATTTACCGGTATGTTCGGTCCGTATAGAGAAATATTTCTCTATACGGACCTCCAATCCGGTAAATAACATATATATATTCCAACTTTTAGCTGCTACTCAGATAAACATTTCATTATAATTCAAAATTCAAATTTGAAAGGCTATACTTTTTTTTGCACACTGTAGATTCCCATGCCTCTTTTAACGAGTTTTAGATTATTTTATGGAACAAGATGGGGACAAGTGGTGGGTTCATTGAAGCAGATTGACGCTGGTAGCTCGGGAGTTGTTTATGGAGTGAATAAGTATTTATTTTTTACATCTATTTGGTTACGAACATGTACGTGTTTAGAGTTTGTTTATATGAATACAACACTACTACAAATAGTCTAGGACCTGTATATGAGTTTGTATGCATTTCATTTAGGACAGATAATCTCAACTGTTTTAG